AGAATGCTTTTCCAAACAGTTTTGCACCCACTTTACAGTGTGTTTGTTTAAGCCCCTTTTTCTCTAGTTTCCTTATGCAAAGGTCACGTGAGACAGTATCGTGAATGAGGTTTTGGCAGCTCTGAAATATACCCTTAGGTCTATTAAGCCTTTGGATGACAGTTGTGGAACCAGATTCTCCTTTTTTAGAAGGATACTCATAAAAACAGAAGAAGGGACATATCGGCTCAGACCACTAGTTTATCTAGCCCCGTATCCCGTCTTCTGACAGTGGCCAATGTCAGATGCTTCAGAGGGAATGACTAGAATAGTTCAAATCATCCATTATCAGTCATCTATTCCCAGCTTCTGACAGTTGGAGGCTTAGGGACACCTAGAGCACGCAGTTATGTCCCTATCTTGTCTAATAGCTATTCATGGATGTATCTTCTATGAGCTTACCCAGTTCTTTTTTTGAACCCAGTTATACTTTTGGCTTTCATAACATTCTGTGGCAGCAAGTTCCGCATGCATTGAGTGAAGAATTTCCTTGTATGGTTTTAAACTTGCTGCTTATTAATTTCATTGGGTGACTCCTGTTTTGTGATGTATTTGTGTATCCCTTTCTGAAGATCAGCCTCAAAGCTGATATGAGGTGTGCCTGACTGCAAGCAGGGGTGGCAGGCAGTGTTCCCTCTAATCTCTTCCTTCCATGTGCGGATTATTTCCAGCCACGTGTGGAATAAAATTTTGATGTGCCTCACCAGTAGAAACAAAAAATGTAGCTTTGGGCATTCTGCTAGTCAGCAGAGCTGCATCTGAATCTCTCCTGAGCAGCTGGACAAGCACACAGCTTACAAGAAACACTGGTGGGCTACGTCTACACTGGCCCCTCTTCCGGAAGGGGCATGTAAATTTCAAGAGTCGTCGTAGGGAAATCCGCGGGGGATTTAAATATCCCCCGCGGCATTTAAATAAAAATGTCCGCCGCTTTTTTCCGGCTTTTAAAAAAGCCGGAAAAGAGCGTCTAGACTGGCCCCGATCCTCCGGAAAAGGGCGCTTTTTCCGGAGGATCTAAGGGCACTTTGAAGTAAGAATAAGAGCCTCCGGAAAAGGGCACTTTTTCCGGAGGATCGGGGCCAGTCTAGACGCTCTTTTCCGGCTTTTTTAAAAGCCGGAAAAAAGCGGCGGACATTTTTATTTAAATGCCGCGGGGGATATTTAAATCCCCCGCGGATTTCCCTACGACGACTGCTGAAATTTACATGCCCCTTCCGGAAAAGGGGCCAGTGTAGACGTAGCCCTAGGGTATATCTACACAGGGATAAAGAACCCATTGCTGTGTCAGGTCTGGCCTTCCAGGGCTTGGCAGCTAGCCTCCAGCCCAGCCAGCCTCTTCTGCCTGAGGTACCACCCTTCCTACCCCCTTTTCCCCCATCCCAGTCCTGATACATTTCCAGCTCCAGAGCATCAGGCAAGCAGGTGGCATGGCCCCCCGTGCCCCAGCTTCAGAGTGCCAAGCCAGGCACATGATGTAGCCCCTCCACCCTCAAGTGACAGCTCCGGCCACCCCGAGCCCCAGGCTGCAGGTCAGCCCCACTAGACCCAGTCCTGGGCCCTGAGGGAAGAGCTGCAGAGTGCCAGCTGCAAGCAGAAAGATTCTGTGGGTGGACCATGGGCAGTAGGGGCGGCCCATCCGCATAGGTGAACAAGGCGGTTGCCTAGGGCACCAAGATAAATGGGGCACCAAACGGTGGCACAATATCATTGAGGGGTTTGGAGGTGGGGGCGTTGATTGCATGGTTCACCTAGGGTGCCAGTTGCTGGCAGCTAGTCTAGGGCTGCCCCGGATGGGCAGGACAAGGCCTTTGATACCTGCTGCTGTGGCCCATAGCTATAAAGGTAATTTCTCCAGCCAGGGCTCCCTAGATCACAGCAGTATGTCTTCACACATACACCCTTTCTTGGTTACCTTTCATCTACATCTGCTATGCCGTGAACTGTGGATGGCAAGGATGAAGAATTCCCCTTTCTAGTAGTATTGTGCTACCATTTCATTTAGTTTCACTTTTCCCTCCATTAATATAAAATAAGGTTCTTGTGGGACCAAATTAGCCTAATTGAGAATCAATTAGTGTTTTGTTGTTAACGTCACTGGTAGCAGAATATGATCCCTACCTACCCTTGTGAATTCCTTTAATTCTCAGCTTAACATTATACATGTTCTGTAAGGAGACACCATCGAAGCACAATAGGTTTTGGAAAAACAAGCTTTTACAAAAGCTTTAATCCTGTAGATATATTTCCATGATTTAAAAAAAAAAAAAAAACTTCCCATGGGAAATGATTTTTTTTTAAACATTCCCCTGCGATATTTATGATCAGACCCTGCAATACTATGCCGCTGCACTAAACTCCACAGAGAAATTGATTGGAAACAAACAAACTGAGTAACACTCTAGCCCCGCAAACCTAGTAGTAAAGAGGAAGTATTTGCAGGGGTGTTTGTGGAAACAAGGCCTACTTTACCTTAAGGCTATGTCTACACTCGGAGTTTTTGCTGGAAGAGGCAATGCAAATTAAGCGTAGATTAGCATATTGTCACGCTTCGTTTGCATAATCTCCTCCGATGCCTTTTGTGGATGAGGTTTTTGCGCAAAAACAGGCAGTGTGGACATGTCCGTTTTGCGCAAAAACTCCTTTTTGCACAAGCTCCTTATGCCTCTCTTCATTTGCACTGCCTCTTCCAGCAAAAACTCGTAGCATAGACACAACCTAATTGTCCAATAAAATAAAATAAAAATATAAGCAGTGCAATTAGTAACAAAATAAGTTTAATTTAAAAGTTATATTTTTAATAATGTATCACTCTACTCTATACAGACCAGATTCTTCTTAATATAGTTTTTTTTTTTTACATTTTTTGTCATTTTTGTCTTGATCTTTGTCACATCTAGTAGGTTCAGAAGCTAAAATGGGGGGGGGGGTTAAATTACTTATAAAAGTTAGAGGTCTTCAAGTCACCTGGACATAATGAAATGCAACCTCAAGAATATTCAAGGATCTAATTGAGGAGGTTTTAGAGCCCTTAGCTATCATCTTTGAAAAGTCATGGAAGACAAAAGAGATTCCAGAAGACTGGAAAAGGGCAAATATAGTGCTCATCTGTAAAAAGGAAATAAGGGCAATCCAGGAAACTACACACCAGTCAACTGAAAGTCTATGACAGGAAAAATAATGGAGCAAATAATTGAGGAATCCATCTGCAAACATCTGGAAGATAAGGTGATAGGTAACAGCCAGCATGGATTTGTAAAGAACAAAACATGTCAAACAAACTGATAACTTTCTCTGACAGGATAACGTGTCTTGTGGATAAGGAAGAAGTGGTAGACCAGGTATACCTTGACTTTAGTAAAGCATTTCATACTGTTTCATATGACCTTCCTATCAGTAAACTAGGGAAATACAATGTAGATGAGGCTACTATAAGGTGGGTGCATAACTGGTTGGATAACTGTTCTCAGAGGGTAGTTATCAATGGTTCACAGTCATGCTGGAAGGACATAAGTGGGGTTCTACAGGGATCAATTTTGGGATCAGTTCTATTCAATATCTTCATCAACTGTTTAGATAATGGAATAGAGAGTACTCTCATAAAGTTTGCAAATGATACCAGGCTGGAAGGGGTTGCAAATGCTTTGTAGGATACGTTTTTAATTAAAAACGATCTGGATAAACTGGAGAAATGGTCTGAAGTAAATAGGATGGTGTTCAGTAAGGACAAATGCAAAGTACTCCACCTAGGAAGGAACAATCAGTTTCACACACACAGAAGGGGAAGTTTCAGGGTGTAGCAGAGTTAGTCTGTGCAGGATAAACTTAAAAAACAACAAATGGTCTGGAAGCACTTTATAGACTAACAAAACATGTAGAAGGTATCATGAGCTTTTGTGGGCACAGCCCACTTCTTCTGATGACCAGAGTCATCTTCATATGACTAAGGAGTACAGGCAGTCCCCGGGTTACATGGATCCGACTTACATCAGATCCCTACTTACAAACGGGGTGAGGCAACCCCACACTAGCTTCTTCCCCCCAGCAGAGCAGAGAGAAGCGAACCCCAGCAGACCAGGGAGACGCGGAGCAGTTTTTCTCAGCAGACACCTCAGCTTGAGAATAAAGGACTGAGGGAAGTGAGGTGTGGGAGAATAAAACTGAGCTCTGGAGAAATGTTTGGCTAGAGTTTCCCGTACAATATGTACCAGTTCCGACTTACATACAAATTCAACTTAAGAACAAACCTACAGTCCCTATCTTGTACGTAACTGGGGACTGCCTGTACTGCAGAAAGGGATCTAAGGATCATAAAAGATCACAAGCTAAATACAGTGTGACACTGTTGCAAAAAAGCAAACATGATTCTGCGCTGCATCAACAGGAGTGTTGTGAGCAGGATAGGAGAGTCATTCCTCCACTGTACCCTGCACTGATTAGGCCTCAGCTGCCTCAACTGGAGTCTTGTGTCCAATTCTGGGCATCACATGTATGGAAAGATGTGGACAAATTGGTGAAGGTCCCAGAGAAAAGCAACAAAAATGATTAAAGGTCTAGATAGCATGACCTATTACAAATACAAAGTGCAGCACAATTGAAAATAAAACAAACTATGCAAAGAGGATAAGAGAAGCCTGTCTGTGGCAAACAGGAAAGGCAAACCTCATGAAAGAAGCGTTGTAATAAAAGCAGCATCCCAATATGAAGAGTTCTGTGTGAGCTGGGCAGCATGTCTCTCGCACCAGCAGAAGGTGGTCCAAGAAAAGAAGTGTCCTCAGGCACCTTGTGACAGTAAAAACAACCACCGCCGAAGTTGCTCAGTTTTTGCACGAAAAAAGGAAACGTCTGGAATCCAGCCAGTCTGTAACAGCATCATCGGATCACAGGATGCGGGAGCCACGCGTGTTCACAAATTACAAGTAGCTGTAAGGAGGAGGGGGGAGTTGCGGCTACAATAACTAATTAAATTAAACCCTCCCATGGTAAAAGGACGCTTCTATTCACTTCCACGGTCTTAAGCAGGCAAGGGAAGAGTCAGGAAGCCGAACGCACATTTTTCGGGGGCGGGGAAGCAGCTCCTGTATTAGACCAACTTCTGTTGGTGAAGCGAGACAAGCTTTTGAGGCGTGGGGGGCTGGGAGGGGGCTAGCAAGGGGCTTCCACTGGTCTCCTCCCCCCTCCAGCACTTGCGTTCGTGCCTCTTGGTTCAGATGTTGCTTCCCTGTTGCTGCCATGTGGCAGCTCTTTAAAAGCATTCCCCAGCGTAGCCGGGTATAAGCCGTTCGCCTTTTACTAAAGAGCTCCCTGGAGAAGCCCATTTACGAAGCCAGGCGGGGACCCCTGGAGCTTGCTGGGGCTTTCCAGACTGGGCCTGGGGGACAGGGCGCGTTTGTTGCATCGTCGTGGGTGGGGAGAGGGGTGATTCTTATGCAAAGTAAAGCCGAGAATAAGCTCACAGGGAGAACAATGCACACGCCGGCTGCCCGCAGCTCAGGACGTGAGAAATCAGCGGGTTGAGCAAGAGCTTGCGTAGGTGAAGCAGGTAAATGATGAGGCGGTGATTTCGTTAGGAAACAGCCCTGGAGGAAGCGGTATTAAGAGGGGGGGGGGCCGGGGGGGGGG